ACATTAAACTTTTATTTATTTTGTTATTTTGTAATCGTGAATGCATACAAAAAGAAATTTCATTTAGAACAGCTCTAGACAATTTAATTTTTTAAAGCGCAGCCTTGAAAACAGTAATAAATACACAAAAAAGATAGTAATGTAAACATATGACTGTATATTTATAGCCATGGCCGGTTCTAGATAGGGGCCAGCGGGGGCCAGTGCCCCTGTAGATCATGTCCTGGCCCCTGTTATGGCCCCTGTACTGAAGAAATAATACTTGGAATAGACATGGATCTATTTCATTCTTTTTCTTTACAAATTCTGTTTCACTAATTATTAAAAAAATAATAAAAAAAATATATATATATATTTATTTAAAAAATAAATAAGGTGATAGCTTCAGTGGTATTGAAATAGGATCCCAGTTTTCATCTGCTAAATGTTTTATTTTTTCACAACAAATAAAAAAAATCCTTTAATTTTTTCAGATGACTTTAACAGTTTTTCTTGAGTTCTAATTCAATGTTTTTTTTTTTAGAAAACAGTAGTTTTAACTTAATTTAAGTCAAAAAATTTGTAAAATTCCTAAATTATAAATGTATATTGACCTCATTAAAAAAATTATTTTTATTGAACCTAATTGAAAAGAAATCTCAACTAATATATTTTAATCTTTTGCCCTGTTTTTTATTTTATGCTTTTCTGTGCCCCCATGAAAACACGCTGTCCCCCTCCTGGCCCCCTGGTACATTTGTTCTAGATCCACCACTGTTTATAGCTCTAACATTATAATTTTTTTTTTAAATAAAAAAAGAAGAACTGAACCAAACCTGCAACTGTTATTGCAACCTTAGGTTGTTCTATTGATATACGAAGGATGGATCACAGGTGTCCAAAGTTGGTCTCTGGGGACAACGTCCTGCAGGGTTCGAATGTTTCATAGCTTTAGCACACCTGATTTCCATAGATGGCTTATTTACAGGTTTTGGCTGAACTTCCACCATCTGAGTCAGGGACGTTTCTGAAAGCTGCAGGACACCGTCCCTCAAAGACAGACTTTGGACAACCCTGTTTTAGGTGTTTATTTATGAAGGGTTTCCGTGAACTCTATTTATTATATTACTACTAAAGAGGATTAGGGCCACTGAAAAAGATTTTTTTTATTTTATTTCAGTATAGTATCGGAAAAAAAGTCAGAATTCTGACTTT